TCCAGAGGAGGACAGAGGAGGGACATCTCTCTGTCTCTGCTTCACCATCTTCTCTCTCTCTTTTCTTAATCTCTCCCAAATTCTTTTTGCAAATCTTCCAATATATATCCTCCAGATAATCCCAGATTATTTTGACCTTTAATTACGACCTTTTCTTTTTCTTTTTTGGGACTTTTGTTTTCAGACTTTTCTAGGTAACAAAAACCTAAAGCAGGAGTTTCGTTGTTTTTCTTTTTTTGGACTTTTGTTTTTAGACTTTTCTAGGTAACAAAAAAAACCCAACAAAAACCTAAAGCAGGAGTTTCGTTTCCAACAGTGAACCCTCCTGTGATGCTGACGAAGCCTGACTTCATTAAACTGTGGTTGGTTTTTACTCACAGATTGAGATGAGTGGACTTTTATTTCAAAACCATTTCTCTCTCTCTCTCTCTCGGTCTCTGTCTCCTGGGAATCCTCAGGCCTGTGTGTCAGAGATCCCATGGGGTGGGTGTCTCCTGGGTACCTACACACACACACACACACACACACACACACACACACAGAGACTCAGTCAGGGGTACAGCCTTAGATGTGTAGCAGAGAGCTGCGCAGTAGGAGTACAAGGGAAAATGATTACACCTCTGATGCTGACACTCTCACACACACTCTCACACACACTCTCACACACACACATAAAACCCTGAACTCGGCAGAATGGAATGAAAATTTAAAAAAAGTGACAGCGTTCTGTGTTTTCTGACTGAAGAGGTTTGTCTGATTTAAACTTCAAACCTCTGACAAACAGTGAATGTAAAGAGAGTTTCATCTGAGAGTCTTCATCACAAACAAGAGGCAAAATTACTGAGGTCAAAGGTCGAAGACAATTCATTCACTTCTACATCAGTGTGTGTGTGTGTTTACGTGTGTGTGTCGTCAGTTCTCATTATAATTGACTCACACTGTGAGTCATATCAACTGAGTCATGAGGTGACGTGACTTACCTGTGGGTCAACCTGCAGCCGCATGATGTCAGCGCATGACGACGCCCCCTATCTGTCACGTGAACGCCATGATATGACTCCAGTCACGTGACCTGAACGAACACATGGAAATCAAAGGTCGTTTCAGTGAAATGTCTGACAACAGACAACAACATCATTTTAGGTTTTAATCAAATATTTAAACATTCAAATGTACTTTTAGTGATGACATGACAATGTTTACTGTTATGGAAATGTAATTTTTGGAGAAAAAGATCCAGTAGCAGAGATTATTTTATAAAGACGAGGACAAATTATAATATCTTGCGTTTTTAATGGTAAACACATTCAGATCATTTTACTTTTTTCTACTGTCTTTCTACGTGTTCTCATTTGAACAGAACGTACTTTGGAGGAAAGTATTTGATAAAATAAGACATTTGTGGGCCAGCTCCGACCACCCATGGGTTTCTTTTGCATATCCCAATAATAAATGTGATTGTTCCTCAGCTTCATGTGACAACAAAGGCACAAAACAGAGAGGTGACGTCTTCGCGGGGCTCACGTGGACGCCCGCCCTCCTCTGGTCCCCATATGGAGCCTCTCCACTGAGAAAGAGCTATCAAGACGGCATGTATGTGGTTTTATGATGTGTGTGTGTGTGTGTGTGTGTGCGTGCAGTGAGGCCAGTGAACCAGTCTGGAAATAGGGGACACATTAATCTTATTTGTCATAACCTGTCCCTTGAGACACTTGGACCCCCTTTGTCCCCATACCCACCCACACACACGAACCAAAAACACAAAAAAAACCCGCACGTATAACATACATTTTTACTGCACCAACAGTGGACACGTTGACCAAGCGACGGTTACTATTTCTAGTGGAGAAAAGAGCCAATATTTTATACAGTGGACCTGAAACCACTGCATGTGAAAACGGCTGTGCATTTGTGATTACAGTAGATCTGGGTCAGTCACGTTATTAATGGAGCCGCGTTTCCTGCAGCAGCTCAGTCCAAAGAGAAACTTTACAGAAAAAAGGTCTGTTTTTACCTCTCCGTGTGTGTCCATTCATCATTCAGGACTGACAAGTGCGTTTGCACGACGGTGTGGGCCTGCGGGGGCAGCACTGAGCGCAAACTGAGACGCACAAGCGTGTCTCGGCTCAAATTAAAATAAGTGGGACATGATTTATGGTTACCTACCAGTAGACCTCTGGACCGGCCTCTTCTGGGTCAGCGCTCCAGTGTCAGAGTTGGTGAGTGGAGGATCACCCCTGGATATATATTATACATTAGTATCTGAAGACAAAGTGAAATGACTTTGTTATAGGTCAAAACTTTGTGTGTCCACTTACTCCCCCCTTTTATCTCCCTCTCTCTCCTATGTCACAGCAGCACAGTGTCTCTAATGAAACCTACGACTGCTCCTGGTGAAAACAACAGTTTAATTAGAAGCAGAGAGGAGCTGGTTTATAGACTCAGTGTCCGTGACCTCCAAATTATGTCTACATTCTGTTCAATGTTCTCACCTGGAAATGATTTCCTGTCATAGATTTTATGTAGTAGCTCACAGACACACTCGATCGCACACTGGGTTAATTTAAAGAAAGTCAGATCCAGATTCTGCCTTGGATTTCCTGGCCTTTGTAGGTAAACTGGTTCTTCAAGAAACTCAGCGTAAAACTTTGTTTCTGTAAAACATGGTAAAGAAGAAAAATAAAGAAGTTTATATACATATTTATCAATCGACCAAAAGTGTAACGCCCCCTGTAGTACCTCGCCAGTCCACTGGTGGTCACTGACTCTCTTTCAATTACGTTAAAACACCTGCATCTTGAAGCATCAGTCGACTGCCCAGGTAACTTTCAGGCTGAGGGAACTCAAACCTTTTGAAAATTTCAATAATAAATAAGCACATTCTCACAAACAACAATTAGAAATGACAGTTATTTCTTCAGCAGAATCATCACAGACTTGTAGAGTGAACAGGCCGTCAGTGAAGAAGAAAAACAACAGCACAGCACATAAGGCCGACTGTAACACAGTCAGTCACTGAACACATTAGCTGTGACGGCTCCGACTGAGTCAGAACTGAACACGAAGTGTTGATGACCATGGAAACACACACACACATACTGTAGTACCACACACACACACGTACTGTAGTACCACACACACACATACTGTAGTACAACACACACACGTACTGTAGTACACAGCTGAAGGTTTAACACTCAAACACTGCAGGAGCTGAAACCAGTCGTTGTTGGTGATATTCTGAGGATTATAATATTTAAACAACAAATGAAGAATTCCGTGACTTCTGTCAGACTCTGACACCAGAGGTTCAGTGCTAACACACACTGACACCTGTGTTCGACTGCTGGTACAGCTGCTTCCTCCTCCTCTTCTTCTCTCCTCCCATGTCCTTGTCTAACACCTCTCCTTCCTCACCTTCTGTCTCTCCTCCTCCCTCAGGCCAAGCAGCAGCGATCAGGTTTCTCTCTGCTTGGTTCTTTTCAATTACACCCGCTCACTTCCTCTGGTCCTCTGTGTGGGACGGTGATTGTGTATAAACGCTATGTTGTTGTGAATTTATCTGTTGCGTTAACACCTCGGAAAAATACGTTCTTTTAAAGAGATCATTTTCCAACACTGGGGATACAGCACGAGTATCTCTCCTCTCCTCTCCTCTCCCCTCCTCTCCTCTCCTCTCCTCTCCACTTGCCTCCTCTCCTCCGTCAGTCACTAAGAACATCAGTGTTGACGTCTGTACAGCTAAGCAGACTTTATTGCACCCGCCTCCAGGCAGTAATGCACACATGCCACCACTGCTTTCCCCCTTTAACAGTATGTTTACTAAAATGATTTAGCAATTACTTCAGCAGCCTGATCGGTTGATGGTTAACAGCAGGTTCGCACAGTGAGAAATATCTTGGTTCAAGTCCTGTTTCACCTGGGGGCCTTTTCTGTGTGGAGTGTTTCATGTCTCCATGTGGGAGGCTGGTTTTTTTTGTTTTTTGGTTTTTTTTGCCTCCATCTTGTTATCACATTCCAAATATTGTGTTTAGAGTAACTGGAGGACAAAATGTTATTAGTGGATGTGAGAGTGGTTGGTTTTGCATGTCGGCTGTAACAGGCTGACGACCCAGTGAGGAGGGTTATTTATATACACTACAGAACAGGTGTGTTATCACTGCACAGGTCAGTGTTGTTGAAAAAATACTTTCTTTACTTTTTAACTTCAGGATTCCAAGACGTCTGGACGTTTAACAAAAGGAGCTGAAACCTGGTCCAAAAAAACCAAACTAATTCAAGATGAAATTGGCTTATATTTAATCCAGAAACTGAATAAAACAAACAAACAAAAAAAACTTTAGCAAAAATAAATCACCCTGAGAAGAAAAGGTTGTCGGGACATTTAACAAAGCAGTGCAGTGTTAAACAGAAGATTGACGTAAATTGACCCAGAAAAAAAAAAAAATTCTTTTCACTAACTGAATCTTTAAATTCACTACTTTAAAAAGATTTTAGGAAAAGAAATAAAGAAACAAAATCTAAAAACTTAGTAAATGTCTGCAAGGATGTTTTCAAGTCGCTCTTTGTTTTTACGTTTTGCTGCTGAGTGACGTACAAAGTATAGACAGGGGGGAGGGGGGGGACAGCTGGTCAGTGGAGAGACGTATCTGACCAGAGAAGTTCAGGGAAAAAAATCTCCGACACTGGACTCAGAAGCAGAACTTCAGGCCAACAGGACACGACGGTGCAGGTGGAGGGAAGTCGTACGTCTCTGTCTGTCTGTGTCTCACAGAGAGTCGTCCATCATCTGAGGGAGGACGACAGCCTCCCGTGTGCACAATGGGACGTGTGAAGAAGTGGAAGTTGGAGGTCAGGATCTTCACACACACTTGTCCTTCGTGGTGTGTGTGTGTGTTTCTTATACACTGTTTGTGTGAGAGGGTTTTTTTTTTGGTGTCACTGGTTAAAAATGTCAGCGTTTACAGCAAAGAGCCGTGTCACTGGAGCTGGGACCAGTCTGTGTGTGTGTGTGTGTGTGTGTGTGTGTGTGTGTGTGTGTGGAGTCTATAAGACAGCCTGGGGGTTAATTAGAGAATAGTAAACAGAACACATGTGGCAGCTTAATATCCCCTCTGCTTTACAGCCCGTGTCACGGCCCACCTGCTCTGTTGCTCTCTTCCTGTTGTGTGTATATGTGTGTGTGTTCATCTGCATGGTGGAGGTCATGGGTGTCTCCCCCCAGTGCGTATCCCAGAGGCACTAACCCCCCCCCACCCCCCAACACGGCACATCCATCCACACCCACACACCCGCCCACACACACACACACACACACACACACACACCCGCGGAGTCTTGATGATGCTGGTGCAGGTGTGTGTATAAGTTGGAGGTAATTTAAACCAGATGAGGTGGTGTCTCTCAGCCTGAGGCCCGTCACTTCATCAATAAAGGAGACAGAGGGATGGAGGAATGAGGAGATGGATGGATGGGTGGAGGACAGAGAAGGGGAAGAAGGAGGGTCATTGTAATGGGGAGACAAAAGATGAGGGAAATCTGTCTGAATCTGAACACTCACATCAGATTTCTTATATATATATAAATATATGGTATAGATGGATATAGAAATGTAAAACGCTGTGATGTTTTATGTAGAGCTTAGTAAAAATATTTTTTTCCTCGTGTATTTAGGGCCATATAAGGTAATAAAATAGTAGAAATGTATTGTTTTATTATCTCAATTAAACGGCCAAAAAGCTGAGCTAAAACAGCTAAGCTAGACTCACAAATGTCTAAATGAACATTCACTTTGAAATAAACCAGAAGTTTGGACAAAAATCCCCCAAATGTGTCTAAAATAAATCTAAAGTTTGACAAGATAAACCTAAAAGATAATCTTTCCCAAAAAGGTCCAGCTACATATTCCATCTTCAAAAACACTATAAAAAGTAAAATAAATTCTTGATTTATTAGCCATTGAATGGATTTTTTTTTTTTTTTAAGAAAATTACACAACACATATAAGAGACATCTAAAGCCAAACATGTCCCACCAGGACCAGAGGTCGGACATGCTCGGTGGGTGAAGTACACAGAAATCTGAAGCCTGAAAAAATAACAGTCAGGAATAAAAAACACACAGAGCTTTAATCCTCACTAAACTAAATAAAAAAACTCTGGTGGATAAAAAGTTGTCGTATATAAAGTCAGAGCTGGTTGGTGCTGAAGGCAATCTTATCCACTCATCTGTCTCTCACACACACAGACACACAGACACACACACTCCCCTGCCTCTGCTCATCATCAAACCACTGTCTGTTTATGAAGCCTCTTATTTCCCCCTAATTATAAGCACCCATTTTATAGGAGGTCTGTTTGAGGCGTTTATGCCTGAACGACAGGATTCTCTCCCCCTGAGTGTCGTCGGCTGAACTTCAGCAGTTCTTCCAGCGTGAACCAGCGACCGAGCAACAAAAGACCAATCTGTTAGACCAATAAATGAGCAGTCAGGTGTGTGTGTGTGTGTGTGTGTGTGTGTGTGTGTGTGTGTGCGCATGGGGCAGTAAATGAACACTCTCTCTATCTCTCATCTATCAAAAGCCTGACACCAGAAGCAGCTGTGAGGGTGCACAGGCAGCAAGCACACACACACACACACACACACACACACACACACACACACACACACACACAGAGCCCCCCAGGACCCCTGGGGATCACAGGCGGACATTGTATAGCAGGCTAATTATCCCAAATTGCTAAAGTATCAGAGAAACGTGTGTGTGTGTGAGAGAGCGAGAGAATGAGAGAGAGAGAGAGGGTGGGTGTGTCCGTGTGTGTGTGTGTGTGTGTGTGTGTGGACCAGTGTCTGGTAAGGATCAGCTGTGTTAAGCGTCCCGTGACATCTAAACTACTAATTCATTGCAACATTAACGGCATTGATTAACATACGTTTATAGACATGCACACACATACGTGACACGCACACACACACACACACATCTGGGCTTTGTTGGTCCATATGAACACAAAGACAATGGGAAGAGACTGAGATTAAAGTTAAGAAAAAACCCTTTTAGAATATTTATACTGTCATTTCAGTCCATATATATCGTCTACTCTGTTCTTACTTCTGTTATTGTGTTAGGGCCACTGGAGCCATTACATATGAGTTTATATACATATATATATATATATATACATATATATACATATGTATATGTATATATATGTATATATATATATATATACAGTATATAGTAGTTAAGGAAACTACTTAATACAGTATTATCATTGAAAAAAAACCAATGAGGATATTTAAAAATGAGAAACTAAAAAAATCTTTAGCGTCGCCTAAATCTTGAACAACAATAGTCAGAGTGTTGTTTCAGTCCAGAGGCCGGAGAACAGACAGACAGGCGCAGTGTGTGTGAGTGTGTGTGTGAGTGTGTGTGTGTAATGCACTTCAAAAGAGAAAAGTGCATGAATGTGTGCATGGAAGATAATGACGTTTAACTGTCTGTCGCTACTGTTATTGAGCCACGATGTCCTACTGTGAGAGAGGCAGGTGCTGACAGAGGACTGAGAGAGAGAGAGAGAGAGAGAGAGCAAATCAATAACATCCTGATTGGAGATGATTACACTTCTCATTCCCTCTTTCTGTATCAGTGTCATGTGAGACTTGTTTTTATCCCCATGACCTCCCTTTGCTCGCTCCTTCTTCTTCTTCTTCACTATCCTGCTCCTTTACAATTTGTCCAATCAGGCGTACACGTACACACACCACACACACACACACTCAGGGCTGTTGTTCAAGGTCAACAGGTTCGAGGGACGAATCAAACTGAGTGGTCATAGGGCCAACTGGTCAAACATTCTCAAAATATCTTTGCTAGTGCAACGCACGAGTGGTCGTAGCACATCTACGAGGGCCAACTGGTCAAACATGCTCAAAATATCTTTGCTAGTGCAACGCAATACAAGGCAACTTCCTGTTTTCCTTAGTTGTAGTAAAAGAAGTCACACAGTCACAGTCTCTGGTCTGCACTGCTCCACTTCAATGACTTGAGCATGCTCAGTGGTGTCCTGACAGTAACTGATTCATGTTGCATTGTACTGGCAAAGACATTTTGAGCGTGTTGAAGGTGAAAGCGTGTTATAAGACAGAGCTGTGTCTCCTGGCCTGAAGGTCCTGGTAATAATAGAGTTACAACATATGACTTACCTGTTCTTCAGGGTCGCTCTCTCTCTCTCTCTCTCTCTCTCTCTCTTTGTTGTCCACTCTCTGCTCTCTGACCTTTACTGCTCTGTCTCCTTCAGAGAGGAAAGAAAGACATGAGAGACATGACCAGTGTTCTCTTTATTGACTTAGTCATAAAACTCTACTATTTCCATTTCCTCTTCACTTCTCTCTCTTTAATCCTTCTTCTTTAACTGCCTGTTTGCTCCTCTCTCTCTCTCTTCCTCTCTCTCTCTCTGCCAACGCTAATCTTTTATCTCCCTCTCCGTCTTCTCAGTGAGACAAACTGAGACTAAAGGATGCAGAGTGAGTGAGAAACAGACACTGATGGAAGTGAAGATGGAGCGAGTGATGTAAACAGATATGGATGCAGCTCCTCTGCGTCTGTGAGAGTGATCTGAGCCTGGCCCAGTTCTTTACATCTCTCCGTCCTGATGCAGCGATCATTTATTATTTGTTAGACATAGTTGATGTATGGATTGATACGTTCTTAAGCTGCCAGCTTCAATTTAAAGACTTACTAGTTTTCTTTTATGACTCCACTCCCCTCTGCCTGCACGTGGTGATGCGTTCACTGACGTGCATCCGTGCCGCAGGGTAATTGTCAGCTTTGGGAAGGATTAACGCCAAAGGCGGACAATCACAGTGCATCAACAGCGCGGCGTCAGGTGAAGGTGTAACAATGATGTTTACGTTCAGCCTGTTTGATAATGAAAAACACTGACATTTCAGAGGCAAAGTTGGCCTTTAACGTAGTGCTGCTGTATTTAAAGATTAATTATGCAGCGAGGCAGACGGCACGGTGACACGCAGGATAAAAAATTACCCTGATGATAAGAGCGCAGAGTCTTTGTGGGACCGTAATTCCAGATCCTCTCAACAGGAACCTTATAGGAAACTTTAAAAACGCTCCTCATTAGTCCTCATTAAGGCGCGCTGACCTTTCCCATGTGAACGTTAACATTCTGTAAGATAATCAAGACTCGTGGCACATCATTGAGCTCCGATCGTGAAGTGATTAGTTTAGAATAAAAATGGTGTTCTTTCTTTCCCTGCTGGAATTTTTTTTATTATATTTAAGGGTATTTAAAACCGGCTTTTTACAAGTTAGCAGACGTTTTAAATACGCAATAAATCTTGGTTTAGGTAATGAACATATAGCTTCATTTATCAGGTAATGGCAGGGAGAGAAAAGAAAAAGAAAGGAGAAACAAAGTAGAGTTAAATGTAAAAAACCCAAACAAACTAAAGAAGGGATTCTTTCTGTGTTTTACACTTTAACAAGTTCTGTTTCACATCCAAATGTCTGACACATCATGAGGAGGAGAATCAGGAACCAGTC